TGTTAATTCGGTGTGCTGGTGAGACATCTCTATCAAGCTTCGTCTTAGGCCTCTTTCACACATGCTGATCAGGAGGGGATCCGTGCACAGATCTGTTACCTTATGAGTTTATGTCAAATCTTCATAAGACATATGTATATAGTTTTATTTCTTGTTTTAAACATTTCACCTGAGGTGGGGGTAGCTAGGAGGTAAATAAAGTCTTTGTTGTGCTTATCACTGTGGAGGGGAGTGGCAGGCCCAATGAATTGCAAATAGGGTCATTGTCCAGCCCAGGCATGTCCGAATAATTGCATAGAGAGGGGCGTGGAGTTGTAAAGAGGGTCTTGGAAACCCTCCAATCTCCATTAGGCCTTGGGAGTCAACCAATGGGAGACTTGCCATGCATCCCTATAGACACCAGGGGTATATTAATGATTGAGGAAAGAAGCTAGCGCTCTTTTACCAGAATGGGGCCCTCACGTGACGATTAATGGGTAACTATACATATAATCTTTCCCCCACTTAACTGTATGTCTGTTTGTCTGTTAGATACCAATGTCTGGGTATTTGGCATGTTTAAATCTTTTCTTTGTATGTTGTAGTTAAATAGATTGTTGGTTCATTGTATTTAAGTCTTGATACTATATACCAATAAATTCTGTTATTGTGTTGAGCTCAAAAATCTCATGAATGAATCCTTAGAATCTCATACCTGTAAGTGTGAATGCTTATATAGCAGATCATAACTTGAAATAGTAATTCAGGTAACAGATCCCCCTCCTAATCAGAGCAGAATGGAGTGAATGTCACCGCATGTGTCCTTTTACATCAGGCTTACCCCCGATCCGGAACGATCATGTCCGCTGAAATGGATCTCTGATACGTTTGTTTTTTTTGGACCTGGCCGGAGTCGGAGATAACAAGTGTAAACGGAGACTAAAGGTGCCCATACACCTTACGATTATCGGACGAAACGTTTCGTCCGATGATCGCATAGTCGTACGATTTTCGAACGGCAGCCCCATCCTGCCCCGATGATCGCAAAATTAATTTAGCCGTAATTAACGAAAAGCACCTGGACGAAATGCGGTAATTGATTTGCCGTATTTTCGTTAGCGCAAGCGCAGTGTAGATCGTACGACTTTTGATGGACGGAAACGCCAGCAACCTTACGACAATCGTACGATCTAGCAAAGTTTTCAAACATGCTTGACCGTCAAAAGTCGTACGATTGTACAGTAACGTTGGTCGGACACTGCTATGCACACATACGATTATCGGACGAAAAGTCGATCGCATACGAAAATCGTCCGATAATCGTAAGGTGTATGGGCACCTTAACGTTAGGCATCAGATCTGGCCCGCCAAAGAAACTGATCGGACCACCCGTGTAAAAGTGGGTTTGCTCAGTCTTCAGCTGAGGAAATGTGCAATAATGTAAGACTTTATGTAAAGTCTCAGAAATCTTTCTTTAAAAGGACTTCATGTTATATAGTTTGAATACCATGTCAAAGATATATTATTTACCATTGCAAAAGAACATATTCCGCACTCCTTTTTTTAAAAATTTTCAGAAAAAAAAACCCGCCGTCCACTCGTTTTTTGTCTTTTTTTTACAATGGTCGGACGGCAAGGGGTTAAGGAGAAATGGGCACAACAGTACTCTAGGCTCCAGAGGAGGGAACAAGGTTCAGACTTACTGTGACTGTGGTCCTGGAGCAGGATGTTAGACACAAACTCTAACCTGGCTTCACCTGTCACTAGGAGGCATAGCCCTAGAGGGGTTTTTAAGGATAGGGCTCCAGCAGCTGATGGACCATGGCCCTGGACCTGCATAACACCCTGCAACTAACTCAACGTGATGCACCACGTGCCAAGGCGAGTGCTCACTTGGGTTCCAAAGCCTAAAGCAACAGTACAGACCGGCCCCAGGAATGCCTCCAGGCTGAGTTTAGGGATCATTGATCGGGAAAGGTTCAGAAAAGGGTGAAGCTTCAAAAAAGAAATATCAAAGCATAAGAGGTGGTAAGCTTCCCTCAATAGAGAGAAATGTCCATTACCTAAGGACACGAGCAAACAGCTGAGGCTTGCTGGGAGAGGGATTGTTTGTAAGCGGGGTGTCACTGCAGCTACTTTTTTTTTTTTGTCAGTGACTAATCACCTGAAGGTAGCTGCATATAACCCAGGGCTTAAGACTAAAGATCAAAACTCAAGCAGACAAAATCTGAAGCAGCTGTGCACAGCAACCAATCAGCTTCTCGCTTTCAAATCTTAACTGGTGAAGAGAGAAGCCGATTAGTTGCCATGGGCAACTGCTCCAGTTTTGATACAGTGAGGAAAATAATTATTTGATTCCCTGGCAGATTTTGTACGTTTTCCCCCTTACAAAGAAATGAAAGGTCTATAATTTATCTGATAGGTGTATTTTAAATGATAGAGACAGAATATCAACCAAAAATTCAGAAAAAAAAAAAACCACATAATACAAATGTTATAAATTGAGTTGTAGCTCAGTGAGTAAAATATTTCATCCCCTACCAACTACCAATAATTCTGGCTCCTACAGACTGGCTATGTGGTACACAGATTAGTCCTGTCAATTAAAAAAGGTGCTCCTAACGACAACTCGTTATGTATATAAAAGACACCTGTCTACAGAATCTCTTTCTTCCATTCAAACCTCACCACCATGGGCACGACCAAAGAGCTGTTAAAGGATGTTAGGGACAAGATTGCAGATCTGCACAAGGCTAGAATGGGCTACAAGACTATCAAGAAGCTTGATGAGAAGGAAACAACTGTTTGAGTGATTATTTGCAAATGGAATACAAAATAACCATCAAATCACCCTCGGTCTGGAGCTCCATGCAAGATTTTGCCTCATGGGGTTAGGATGATCATGAGAAAAGTGAGGGATCAGCCCAGAACTACACGGGAGGAGCTTTTGAATTTTTCTCAAGGCAGTTGGGGCCACAGTCCCCAAACAAACCATTGGTAACACAATACACCGCCACAGATTGAGATCCTGCAGCACCCGCAAGGTCCCTCTCCTCAAGAAGGCACATGTACAGGCCCGTCTGAAGTTTGCCAATGAACATCTAAATGATTCAGAGAAGGATTGTGAGAAAAAGTGATGCGGTCAGATGAGACCAAAATTGAGCTCTTTGGCATTAACTTGACTCGCTGTGTTTGGAGGAAGAAAAATGCTGACTATGACCCCAAGAACACCATCCCTATAGTCAAGTATGGAGGTGGAAACATTATGCTTTGGGGCTGTTTCTCTGCTAAAGGTAAGAGCTGACTTTGCCGCATTGAGGGACCAATGGATGGGGCCATGTTTTGTAAAATCTTGGATGAGAACCTCCTTCCCTCAGCCAGAACACTGAAGATGGGTCGTGGATGGGTCTTTCAGCATTACAATTACCTAAAACATACCGCCAAGGCAACAAAGCAGTGGCTCAAGAAGCAGCAAATTAAGGTCATGGAGTGGCCTAGCCAGTCTCCAGACCTAAATCCTATAGAACATTTACAATAGTACTTATTTTACTCACTGAACTGCAACTCAATTTATAACATTTGTATCAAGTGTTTTTTCTGGATTTTTGGATGATATTCTGTCTCCATCATTTAAAATACACCTATGATAAACAAATTATAGACCTTTCATTTCTTTGCAAGTGGGAGAACTTACATAATCTGCAAGGGATCAAATATTTGCCACACTGTAAATTCCCCTCCCTGTGTCTTGTAATGTGCAATTAAGAAAGGTAATTTTGAAATAACGCTTTGATAAATGAAGCAGATCAAAAGGTTCAGTCCATATTACTATCTGCTTTAGGTTCAAACTGGAGAGAGTTAAACCAAACGTCTTATCAAATAAAACTGATTTTTAGAGTACAACTTATTAGTGAAATTGTCCTTCATAGCTTCCCAATCAGTGTCCCAGCGGTGCAACATACTTACCGTTAGCCCTGCTCTGGAGATAGGCAGTGTGCATTGCCTGGTGCAACACAACCTACTGTTGTAAAAAGTACCAATAGGGTTGCAAGTCCACTGTGCTAGACTGCACATCGAAGATCTCCAGAGTGGCACTGAGGGCATTTAACACCATTGTGAAGGAGGTGTACAGGAGCTATAAAAAGGAATATTACTATCTGCTTTAGGTTCAAACTGGAGAGAGTTAAACCAAACCAAATGTCTTATCAAATAAAACTGATTTTTAGAGTACAACTTATTTATTAGTGAAATTGTCCTTCATAGCTTCCCAATCAGTGTCCCAGCGGTGCAACATACTTACCGTTAGCCCTGCTCTGGAGATAGGCAGTGTGCATTGCCTGGTGCAACACAACCTACTGTTGTAAAAAGTACCAATAGGGTTGCAAGTCCACTGTGCTAGACTGCACATCGAAGATCTCCAGAGTGGCACTGAGGGCATTTAACACCATTGTGAAGGAGGTGTACAGGAGCTATAAAAAGGACAATATCACTAAAGTAAAGTCGCCCATTCAGAAATATTTATCTTTATAGTGACCTTGTCACTACAGGGTCATTTTACACAAGACGCCTGTAAAAACAAAAGCTTTTTATAAGTACTTTTCCAGAGGCCCATGTATCGAAAAACAGGCCCATCTTCACTCACAAGACAGTGAAAGTATTTGACCGTCAGTGGTTGAAAACGTGCCACCCCTGCGGTTCCTCTCACTGGCTAGAACATCCAGCAGTGATGTATAAGTCGGTGGGAGGAACCACTGTGGTAGGAGAGGGCAAGTATTTTACACCTACAGGAGTAGAATACTTGTAATGGCTGGAGAGGCTGCATTTTTTTAATGGAAGGGCTGCCGGAGGAACCGTTAGCCCTGCTCTGGAGATAGGCAGTGTGCATTGCCTGGTGCAACACAACCTACTGTTTGATTTAACATCAAAGACATTAACGAATATTCCGTTACATGTGTAAATATATAGGCATGCATATAGTCAGATGACAGCACAGTCACAGAACAATATGGCATGTTTCATACCTGTGGCTGGAACTGGGGCACTGGTGGTCCCTGCATGGCCTGACACTGATCTTCCATTATCTTAGATGCACAAGCACCTCACAGCTCTGGAATACAACATAAACAATAATGCAGCTATAACACAGAGAAAAGATATAACTAAACAACCTTTCATAATTCCAGAAAATGAATTAAAAGAAAGTCTTGTATTTATGTGCATCCATATTTTCGTAATGTAGATTTCCAATTTCACAGCCAGATTAGGATAAACACCTGTTTTAAATTAGTCACATGTTCCCATTCACACAGAATAAGCTAAAAGGAATATTTAAAAAATGCTTATTGCAGTTTAAATTAATTTTACTTGGGTTAGGGTTTCTCGAGTTAAAATTTCTACTTGCTTCTCTTCATTTGTGATCTTAGTAGGTGCTGTGATGGGTGAGGGATTAAAGGATTACAAATCTGGCTTCTGCATTCAAATGTTAACACAGTCCTTACACTTCAGTCCTAAATATTGCTATAAGGACAGATCACTGTCAAAGTGCTCAGAAAAACATGGAATCGGCCATGCCGCAAAACATCTAAAAAAAAAAAATATTTCCTACCTTTTTTAAAGTATATGTTTCAGATATGCTGTGTAAATAGGAACACATAGCAAATATATTTGATCAAGTTTAACTGCAAAAGTGAAAATACACTTTAAAAAGTTGGTATTTGCACAGGCACACCTCACACCAGTCACCCACCCAGGAGACAAAAATCTGCTAATAGGACACTGAATCACTTAAAAAGGAGAACTATGAGGTGAGTGCTTTTCACTCACCTCATAGTTCTAGCCGACCTGCGACAATGAGACTGTCACAGGTCGGCTCAGTAGATCGGGAGGTGAGCGAACACATACCGGCGTTCGCTCACCTCCCGATCCTGTCACGGCTCTCTGCAGTGACAGGGGAGGGGCTGGATTCCCCCCTCGCCGCTCCGATCGCCAGCGCTGACTGGCAGAACGGACGGGGGAGGGGCTGGATTCCCCCCTCGCCGCTCCGATCGCCAGCGCTGACTGGCGGAACGGGCGGGGGAGGGTACAGCTGGCTCTGCCTCTAGATAGGCAGAGCCAGCTGTCAGTCACGCAGCTGGGCGGATCCAGACATAATTGTCGGGATCCGCTTCTGCTGCGGCGTCTTAAGGTGCCCATACACCTTACGATTATCGTACGATAATCGTATGCGATCGACTTTTCGTACGACAACCGTAACGTGTGAATAGAGTGCCCGACCGACATTACTGTACAATCGTACGACTTTTGACGGTAAAGCATGTTTGAAAACGTTGGTCGATTGTACGATGTTCGCATGGTTGGTGGCGTTTCCGTCCGTCAAAAGTCGTACGATCTACACTGCGCAAGCGCAAACGAAAATTGCGGTCAATTACCGCAAGTCGTCCAGATGGGTTTTTTTAACTACCGCTGATTGAACCTTTAGATAATCGGGGCTGGATGAAGAGTTTCGTCCGATAATCGTAAGGTGTATGGGCACCTTTAGTATACCGCGAGCAGCAGCTCGCGGTATACTGCGGCGTCTCAGTATACCGCGAGCTACAGCTCGCGGTATACTGAGCCTAGGGTGAACGGAGGACGCTAGTTTGTGTCCTCCCATTACCCTAAGGAGAACTATGGGGAAAAGCCTTAACCCCATATTTCTCCTTTAAGTGGTTAACCATCTATTTTGCATGCATGACTTCAGTACATTTAGGAGGCATGGTTACATTAATGTAATTAAATTACATTAATTTAATACCAGCTAGTTAAATTATTAGGTGCAGAAAGAAGTTTAGACTTCCTTCTCATTAAGCTCAACCTGTTCAACCACAGACATGTCAGGGAAACCAGGTAAATCCCCAATGAAAATTAAAACAGTATGACAACACATACAAGTGTTGATAGTGGATTGTTTTACTGGAGTTGCATAGAAGTCATATGTGTATTACTGACAATTTCAATGGTTTACAGGCATGCTTAGCACAGACAGTCTGGCTAGACAATTTTTTAACCAATTCAGGACCAGAGCAATGTTTCCATACTTTCTTGCTTTAACCATAATCCTTTTTTCCCCGTCATCTCTCTTTTCAGAATTATTTTTTGTTCATATATAAAAATAAACAGGGCTATCATTTAAAAGGAACTGCATCATACTAAAAAATAATTATGAATGTCAATGAATAGCCATAAGCCCTCATTCACACTGAGTAGGACTACAACTAACGATTATTTTCATAGTCATTAGTTGGCTGATTATTTTTTCAAATCGGATTTAAAAAAATTAAATACAATTTTTTAGTTAAAATAAAATACACAAATGGAGTGCCACAAAAATAAAAAGTTTACTTCAGAATAAAACTGCATGCACAATTTCTGCAATCACGCTGGAACGCAGGGCATTGTGGTACCGTGCGTTCCAATGCAGGCGATCGCACTGCAGGTGGGAAGAGTGTTTGCACGCATTTGCAGGAGGGTGGGGGGGGACTTTACTTTTTTTTTGTATTTTTACATTTTATTTACCTTTATTTTTTTAATTTTTTGGGTTAATTTTATTGCTATCACATGGTGGGGCTCAAAAGCCCCCTATGTGATAGCACATTGGAGATGACAAGTTCTCTTTAAAAGGCGACATAAGGGTTCTAGTAGACCCCGTGTCACCTTTCCACATCTAAGGAGCTATTAAAATGACACATGGCTTGAAAAGCTTCGGCCAGGGAGAAAGAGAAAATTCTCCTTCAGGTCCTCCTCTGCTGATTGACAGCCGGCAGGTGCAATAGACAGCCTGTTTTGGCTGTCTATTGCAAACTGGCCATTGCACACATCCACTGCCTCGGAGCCTCTCTGACCCGTCAACCAGTGCCGGACCTGACCCGCCCTCCTCTCTTGGCCCCGACACCTGACAGCCTGTGTCTTCTCCGCTGCCCGCTGCCTGTGCTGATACAGGCGGAGGAAAACAAGTATTTTGTGAAAATGGAATTACCAGCTCAAATCTGGCCCTCTCTCCAACCCTACCCCCCTCTTCCCGCTATACTTCCCTTTTAGCAACGGTCCTTCCCCTCCACAGACATGACTCCCAGAGGCAGAGACATAGATTTGCAGTTTCAGCACCGCTGGAGTGTCAAGGTTATCTAGCCCTACTCTACAGTACAACTATCAGAAGTGTTTAAAATATAAAGCCACGTGTTATGTACATGTTCCCCCAAATGTCCTCTGCTCTAGAGCATGTGCCACCATTATTTTTGCAAGAAACAGCTTTTATCACTCCCTGTAACATTATTGCCAGGCTTGTAAAATTCTTGGTCACTTAATACAGTGTGTGAGAAGACTCTCGGGAATCAAGGAAGCAGCATTGCTTTGCTAGGAAAATGAATGTATGTAGGTGTAGTGGGGAAAAGTTGGGGTCTGTAGTCAGGACTGAAAACACTGATTTGGATTGTCAAGTTGACACTGTGTTGTCGGCTCAAACAGGAAGCAAAGCACACACTGGGTTTCAGTATTTTTCCCGTGCAGCATGAAAATTGGAACATGTTTATGTATTGCACCAATTTACTAAATATGACTGCATTTTGCACTGACATACATTCACTTTATTGTATTTTAATCATCTCTTTTGGTAACCACACACAAATGTTAAATGCAGGTTATTAGTGATATCCTCCAAGGTTCACACATTTTTCAGACACAATTCAAAGAGATGTGAATGATGGGTGAAAGCATTAATAAATGGACCCAATACTAAAGCCTTAAATTATCCAGCATTTGAATGTAGGTTATGAACATACATATGATTGTTTACCCTCCCAAATCAAAACAGGTGGCCCCGAAATTGTTTCTGCTTAAAAACACAATATCAAAGCAATCAGTACCTTTATGCAAGGTGTTTAATAACTTGAAAATAGGCGATAACCAAAAACAGTTATCTCCAGATGACTGCCAAGGCAGAAAATATGCACCTTTGTCAGTGTATTTCTTTTATTAAAAAGCAACATGCTGGTGGAAAGCAATAGCTTTGCGAAAGCAGGGCTGGAAAAAAAATTAAAAGGAGACCACTAGTTACCGTACCTAAAAACTTACAGCTGGCATCTAACATTTCATAAAGCGGACCGTTACCTATATCTTTACAAAAACGAACACACCTTTAGAAATGTTTAGTAATGACAATCTACAAACACATACATCTAGATAACTGCTGGCTTTGTATACCTTATTTCTCCTTCTTTCAGAGTATTCTGCCAGTGGCCATGTTAATGAAGGGCAGATTACTAGAGCTCCATTTACTTCCTGGATTTCTGGCACATGTGACTAGGACGTGTAACCATGCACATCTCACGGGAGGAAAATGCCTTTCCCCGCAACGCTCTGCTGATGTAACCTTCCCAGGATGCAACGCTTTGGCATTACATCATTTGTGCCAGAACTGGACCAGGAAGTAGATTGAACTCTTTTTGTAAGTAAATGAAAAACAAGATGTAAGAGGTTTTTCAATCAGCTGCATGCTGTGATTTTTACTAAAAGGGGTAAAGGTTCACTTCAACCTTTTCCACAGGAAGCAGTAGTTTGTTTCCAATTTCTTAATAAATGAACAATTGTTTTGGGTACATTTTATTTTACTTTCATTTTTAAGTTAACAGTTTTCTCTTTAAATGCATTTTTTTTTTTTTTAAA